TATTTATTAAAAATAATAAAATTTCAAAATAGATTTACCTGCATAAGATCCACAGCATCTTTTGCATCCCTCTCAAAGAAATCTGGAGGAAAGTCTCGAGATGGAGGAATGGACTGTCCGTATCCCCGAGGATCCCAAGCAACAATTGTGAAAAGTTGCTTATTCATAGACTTAAGCTGTGGTCCAAAATCGGTTTGACCACTCCCTGAAACATCATCATTTTTCAATCATAGTAACCACCATAATACATACATAGTAAGTATACATACTCTATATGGAAACCTGGGGAAACTTGTATCTTAATTCTGAAAAAGAGATTATCCATCAACAGAAATACACGTTATCCCTAATTGCAACTAACCATTGCAACCCTTGGACAGGAAGTACCACAATAAAAATCTTCAGAACTATCTGCAGTATGCTCAGAGCAAACCATTTCTGGTAGGTACGTAAGCTTATCAAAACCTGTGATCTACACAGGCGCTTTCATTCTTAAACTCAGTTACTTGGAATCAGTAAGGATATATCTTTCACAGATTTAAAGCACTAGCATGGTCATTGCTGTTTATCTAGACAGCACAGATGAAACTGAAAGGGGAGGAATATACTGACTCTAGCTACAAGGTGAAGAGCCCTGTGTGAGACAGTTGATCTGATTCAATAAAACACTTCTATGAGAATATTGGTGCTTAAAGCTGAGCTTGAAATACTTTGTTGCCTAAGGAGACAGTAGTGACACAAAAGCACAAAACTGTATTTTTTTACTTTTCTAATATGTATGTTACCAAAATAAGCCAAATAGAACCATTTGTCTAATGCAGAACAGTTTCTTTTATTGATGGCTCAGACCTTTAAAGGATTTAAAAAAGAAGTATTCCAGTCTATCGCACTAAGCTATCTTTGAACACTAGCATGAAGGGAAGACTGCAATTTATTTCTCATTTCCATTATGGTCATATGGTAACAGTATCACAAGCTACTTGATTAAAACCTGTTCAGATCTAATATATTCAAGTGATGTAAATCAAATATCAAATTGGCTATCCATCGTTATATTAAAAAGGCCATTTAAGGGCATTTAATATTTTTTCTGTTTACTTGGAGAAGAGGCTGTATATAGCACACCATGATGAGCTGACTACAGCCTGACATGATCTCTTCTCTCTTGCAACACCAATTACTAGCTAGAGTCAAAAGAAAAATATCACGTTGTTTGAAAAATACCAATGCAACCCGATTAATATTAATCACGTATACTTACATAGGCTTCGTATGAATCTCTGCACTATCATTTATATGCTTGTTATATTTTTTGTAATTAAAAAAAAATCCACAAGGCTGAAAGCATATCTGATTGCTGTGTTTTCTCAGTACTTTTCTAGTTAGAGAAACATCAGCTTTGTTTTAATGTAGTTTACAAATAGCCTAGAGACTAATTCATTCTTTTGAGCTAAAAGCACTTATCTGGTTGCCGTGACACACTTACTAGTCTGTTAATTCTGTATGTAGTATACGATAATAATGAAAACTTAGTGTCAGTACAAAGGGAAGAAGTATATGGCAGTCAGAATGTAAAGCTCACCCACATATGTTGCCCAGAAATATTAAACATAAACTTAACAATGGTAAGCATACTAAGCCTATTACTGTTTGTAGTAATGCTAACTGAACAACAGCAATGTACAACTAATAATAATATCACTCACAACTGAAGAAATACATTATTTTGATTTAAAGACTTAGCATTGGGAACAGGATTTCTAGTTTTAAAAGCTGTTTAGAGCGAACAGGTTAAAACATATGACTACTAAAGCATCCCTAGCACTAACTTTTTCAACCCTCCACTTTGAAAGAAAGAACCACTTCATGAAGAGTTGAAAATATTGCTGCCAAGAACAACAAATGTTTTCTGCTCTTCAGTTCTTGACATTCTATTATCTTGATCCAGCAATTCAGTTAAGCATGAGCTCAACTCTGAGCACAATAATGGTCCTACTGACAGCCTGCAATGAACTGTTGGTAAGTCTGATTGGTTCTTCAGAACTGCAAGAACCCAGCAAAAAAGCCTGTGTTAATTTGAAAAGTTTGTTATCAAAAGCAGTGATCTCAATAGGCAGATATCATGTAGCTAGCAGAACACGGTGTCCATCTCAAAAAGCCACTGAGAATCTTAACAATGTTTCTCTGCATAACAAAAACATGAAAATACATTTTTAATCAAAAAACAAGTTTCAACTGTGCCTTTTTCACTATGATAATAAGCTGCAAGTGCTGCGTTATGTCTATTAATTCAATTGGAATACACCTAGTTTCTAAAAAGGAATGCATAATTCAGTCTGTGTAACAAATATAGCTGACCTGATTTTTTCCCCTGTTATCTTGCACCTTGAGTAACTATTTGCCACCTGTGTTGGACACTCCCTTTGCACAGTTAAATCAAAGTGCGAGTGACTACACAAGTCAAGAAATTGTGTAAGAAGTGCCTGGTGAGATAAATGAAATGTTTAAAAGATAACTGATTGCAACAACTCTGTCTTTTCCTATATGTTGTATGTGTAGCCTTTTTTTTTAATGACAATGCTCCATAATGAGGTATTGAACATATTACAAAATGGCTTTGGGCATTCTGTCTTGAGACCGGGTGGCGAAAGAGGTGGTTGCTCTACAAAGTTAAGACAAAATCTCCACACCTAGCATCCCAGGAAGCAGAAGAACTGCATGGCTTCCTTCTCCTGTCTGCTGATAATGTAGGTGGACTCCATTCACTTGGATTTTGGCAGATTTTATTGAAGTACTAGGAATGGAAGAAGGGGAGAGAAAAAGGAAAACATTCAGGCAGTTAATTCTCATTACTACATGGTCATTCAAGGAATACAGAATAATTACTTTTTCTAGAGACGACGAACAATACAGTGAGATTTAAATGGGTCACTTGCCCTTTCATGGGTGCACAGAAGACTAAATAAAAAACTTGTCAGGATCAGAGAAGTATTCAGTTGTAACCACTATGTAGCACTTGTATTCAGGTTTCAAAAATTTGTTAAATTTCTTAAGTTAAAGGTGAGGGGAAAAAAAAGTGTCTTGACTGTACCATAAGGGTAATATAAAAACAGCTTTACATGGCTACAGAAACATGTTGAAAGAAATGTATTGGAGAGGAGAAACCTCATTCTGTCACAGCATAACTTTTGAAACAGCTGGTGTTCACCTCGTAATTACTAAACTGAGCCTCTCCATCTGCCAAAGAGACCACAATCTATTGTTATGGTTCCTCCTGAACCATAGGGTCTACAATGAAAACCACCTTGCACTGGGATGAGAGTGGGGAAGATGAATGTGATAATAATATTTCTGTCAGTGTAATCTCAGCAGGACATAATGCTTAACTGGAAAATACCACATGACCAAAAAAAACAACTCCCAAAAGAAGTACCACAGAAACTGACTGCATAGGCCACCTCCCAGCCCTGACCCTTAAACCTCTCCACTAACCTTCAGTGCAAAGCAAGACATACATATAAATGCAAAGAGGTAACTTGAGATACCATGTCTACATACAAACACCTAGCCAGAAAGCAGAAGCAGAATAGATTGAAGGTATCTTCTGAATGGTATAAACCATTGCATCTGTTCTCTCAAACAAATTTGTGCTAATGGTTGCAAGACATCTTTTCACCTAACTCATTTTATTTAAAGGGATGTGTATTCTGCTTTCCTGATTCAGATGCTAGATTTTTTTACATAGTTCTACATTTTTAAGATTAATTATTAACACCAGGGGTTTGAGAATTTTGCTGAGTTTGTGATGCTTTTCTATTCTTGGATTGTTCCTCAGTGTAAAGTCCAATGAAATTCAGGAATTTCACAAAGAGAGTATTTGCAATACTTTCTGGACTAAGAACAAAGAGTTGGGGGTTTTTTATGTGCTGAGAAACTGTACTGGAACTGGCTATACCTAAGACAGATTTGGTCTTCCCCACACCAAGTCTCAAATCACTTCAGTATGCTTGTCAGCATGATGACTTCACTTCTGTCAAGTTTTCATCAAGACTGCATTTTGCATTGGTTAGCACAAGCAGAAACCATGTTAAAACAAAACACCCACACTATTCTGTAACTGAATTAGTAGTGTTAAGGTTCATAGCTCTTTGAGAAGTATTGGATACATACTGCCTACGTTTACCAAGACAGTACAGACGCAGAGTAGGCAGGTCTTGTGTTGTGCCTTGTTGGAGGCCACACTTCACCTCATACTCTGTAGGAGTGAGCTTAATCTGGGAACTACCTTTCTGTTCCAGCTGTGCTACAATGCAATCTAATCTTTATCTGTGCGGGGGGAAAAAATATGGTATTATGTCTGTTTTACTTAATAGGATTTGCAGAATAAGCAGTATTATATATATTACATAGATGTATTCTCTTTGACGACCTTGACGATCTCCGGGAAACACCTTACGGGCAGGCGGCTGAGAAGCAGAGCACGTCCTGCCTTGCAGGGGTAAAACGGACTGGCAGAGAGCATGACAGACACTGATGAGAAGGGGCTGTGGAGCCTTGCTTGCGCAGCTCCTTGCAGCACCGGGAAAGCAGCTAAGAGCTCTTCCCTCCCCAGCGAGACGAACCTTCCCGCCTAACCGCAGAAGCAGGGTACTACCAGAGTCCCCACCTTGTCATCCCCCGAAATCTACTGTACCCCCCACTCTGCTAAAACACCTCATTCGCTCCCTCCCCCCCACAGTGGCACCCACCCGGGCCTG